AATGATTAAAGCTTTCTGTTTCAATAATTCAAGCAATAAATATGGTAGACATAGTGAAATTTTACCCTGAATCAGTCTATGCCTGTGTTTTTCTTGTGCGTGTTTGAGAATGATCTTAACTAAAGTCCTTTTTTCCTTACTTAAAAGCTTTCTCAGAGTTGCTGAATGCAATACACAATGGTAAGTTTTATTAGACTCTTCTCTGGTGGCTCATTATCACAAAGGTGGTTTTTTGTTGAGAAGCTCAACTGAAAGTTAGCATGGTCTATTGATTAGATGAAATCTGGTCCTCCAGTTAGTCAATTAATTGTTCAGCACCTTAGTAAAACTTTTGTCTATTGCCTGCAAGGATGATAGGTCAGTCTAGTTCATCAATCTGGCTTTTATGGTCAGAATAATAACATTATTATAATATTATTGTTCTAAGTCTCTGCAAGTCTTTTATGTTTGCAAATACTCTAGTTCTCTTTAGAGGTCTTTCTTGCTAATGCAGTTAGGAATAGCACATACACTAGGAATTTGCTTTTAACCACAATTTGAAATGTGAATTGAATCTTTAGAACTTTTATTTGAACACTTTATTTTACCCTCTATATTTCATGTAGTGAAAAGTGAAATATAGCCCTTTAAATTGTATATACTTGGGCCAGTCTTTACAGTAGGGTTGCACATTTTGTTGGGCTGGATTCTGCGTCAGCATGTAAGATGAATGCTATCACTTTGCACTTTGACAGTGCGGTTACAATGGAGGTCATTCTTGCAGAAATATGGTGGTTTCTTTTGTTTCCCCAAAAACTTTCCATAATTTTTTTGTGTTCAAAAACTTCTATTTAAAATGTTTAAAATTACATATTTTTTTTGTTTATTTATGTGTGTGTATATGTGTATGGGTGCATGTGTTACGGTGTGCCTATGGATGTCAGAGAATAGGTTTTGAGAGTCCATTCTCTCCTTCCACCATGTGAGTCCTGGGATTGCACTTGAGTCATCAGGCTTAGTTGCTGCACCTTTACCTACTAAGCCATCTTGCTTGCCGTGAAAATTTCTCTTTTTAATATGATATCATTTATTTGCTTTTTCAATTATTAATTGATATGTCTCATTTATTTAAAGCTTTTTTTTTATTCCAAGCAATTTTCTCATATTTAACTTTATGAAATTTTGGTGCCATTTAATTTGTAACCCATTTAATGAATTATGTTTAGCTTCTGTTTACAGAAGTTTACAGTAGACAGCAAAAGATGGATGGCAGAGTTAGCAGTCATAAATGGCCCCATTTCTTTGAGGCCACAGGTGGTCATTTTATTAATGAATATATTCATTTACGGGGCGGGGTGCCTGTGTGTGTGTGTGAGCACGCGGCCTTGTGCATGGTAGAAAGTGTTATTCCACTGAGCTGGTTGCAGCTTTGCTTTCCTGTAGTACCTGTACTTGCAAAGATTTAGACAATGAGTATAACAAGGATCTCTTAATCATTAGGTGTCTGTAGGAAAAGGATCAAAGCTGCCTTGATGATGAGTTAATCATTTTACCGTTCTTTGGTTAGAGAAATACGAAAGCTGGGGAAGTTTAGCAGCTTTTCAGTTAGCGTGGATTTTATACTTGTTCTTACTTCTTGAAATATTAGAGTTTAAAGCTCAGATATATTGTCAGGAAAGCAGGCATCATAGTGAGCAATCGAGATAAACTGTCATACAAACTTTCCATTGCTCTCTGAGGAAACACTGGGTTGCGTTAATTCCATGGGAAAACTTAGGCTCCTCTGTAGGTAAATGAGTATCAGTGGGGTTAATAACTTCAGTTTTTGGTTTTAGCAATTTTGAGGTTGATAGTGAATTCTGTAATATTGCAGTACGTTGCTTGTATTTTTTTCCATCACGTAATACAGAGAAAAGAAGTGTAGTAGACGTCATATTTTTAGTAGTAAAGGCAAGAGGAAAATTGATACCCAATAAATACTAAGTCTGTGATTTTTTTTCCTTTTTCCCTTGTCTAACTTTTAAATTTTTCTCTTTTACAAAATGTTATAAAACATACATAAATTAAACCCAACTTTATGTTTTGGTTCATTGTATATATTGTATAATGTTAAGATGGGGGTAAATATATCCACCTCCTCAAATGTTTGCCATTCTTTGTTTTTATTTTTCCATTTTTTATTCTTTGTGTGTATACATAATGACCTTGATCTCCTTTACAGATGTAAAGTAGATGAAACTCAGGTCATCAGGTTTTCACTGCAAATGTCTTTAACCTTAGTCATTTTGCTGGACCTCAAGATATATTTGTGTGTGTGTGTGTGTGTGTGTGTGTGTGTGTGTGTGTGTGTGTGTCTTGTTTGTCTGTCAGTGTATGCACAATTATATTTTGGGTTTATGTACCTGCACACATTTCTTTTAGATGAAAACTCTGAAAATCCTTTCATGTAACCTTTTGCTAACTGCATTCTCTGTAGTCACTGTACCTTGCCAGGGACACGTTTTCCTACTCACCTGTATCTTAATGCTCATTCATCATAATTTTCAAGGGACATGTTAAGAGTCATCACAGTGTTCTACAGCTGATGTCTAGGACCTTTTATCTTGCAGTGTTGAACTGCTGTATCCATGAGACAGGTCTGCACAGCCCCTCTTTCCAGCTCTGCGAGCTAGAATTTACAGAGAAGCTTTCAGATTTTTACTTTTACAGTGTTTGCCATTTTTCATAGCCACGCTTTAGATTTCTTTGTTTTAGGTCTACTCAGAATTCTTTATTTTAATTAAAAGAGGTCAATACACTTACTTTTTTTTTATTATTAATGTTTATTTTATGAGTGCTTTGCGTGCATGTGTATATAAGTGTACTCCTGATGTGCAGTGCCCACAGAAGCCAAAAGAAGGTGTTGAATCCCCTGGAACTGGACTTACAGGTAGTTAATAGCCACCTTGTGGGTGCTGAGAACTGAACCCAGGTTCTCTACAAGAAGAGCCAGTGCTCTTAATTGCTGAGCCATCTCACCAACCCCGGAATTCCCATTTTTTTGCGTCAGTTGCGCTAGTTTGCCCATTTCATCTGCACTAAGTACTTGGCATATAATTATTCATAATATTCTTTTATAGGCCTTTGGTTTTGATAAGGATAGCACTAAGAACACTCAGTTATTCTTCCCACCTCACCTCCCTTCGGATTTTTTTTTCCTCTGAAACAGTGTCTCCTATAACCTGTGTAGCTAAGGATGACCTTTATCTCCTGATCCTCCTGCTCTCACCTTCCAAGTGCTAGGATTACAGTTGTAAGCCACCAGATCTGGCTTCTGCTTTCTTTCTCTAATGTTTGTTATTTCTTTCCTTTGCTTATATTGCTCTTGTTTTTCTGCCTTTTGTTGTTTTGAGACAAGATCTCACTATGTCTGGCCTGGCACTAGCTATATAGATTGGGATAACCTTGAACTCTGAGATCCTCCTGCCCCTGTCTCCTGAGTGCAGGGATTAAAGGTGAGCCCAACCACATCCAGCCATTTTTTTCTGCTTGCTTTTTTGTTTGTTTTGTTTTGTTTTGTTTTTTGAGACAAGATCTTACTAGTAGCCCTGGCTGACTTGAGAGTAGCTATGTAAGTCATGGCCTGAATCTCAACAGAGATTCACTTGCCTCTACAGTTTCTAGTGCCAGGATTAAAGGTTTGCAACCCCCCGCCCCCCCGCCAGCTTCCTGCTTTCTTAAGAGGAAATTAGGTTATTGAGTCCTGTATTACCCAGGCTAGCTTCAAGCTCATATTCAAAATCCTCCTGCCTCAGATTCTTGAGTACTGGGGTTATAGATGTGCACTATCATACAAGGTGAAATACTTTATTTTTTGAAAGCAGATCTTTATAGATATGCAGGGTTGGGGTCCCCCCCCGAAATTTTGTGCCTTTTATTATTTCTTTGCCTGCTTGGGAGGAAGACAGTTGAGGATAGGACTTGCCTGAAATTTGCTGTGTAGCCCAGCAAATTTGTGGTGATCCCCTTGCCTTTGCCTCCTGCTGGTATTTTTGGCAAATGCCACCATACCAAGCTCTTTACCTACTTCTTAGATTTTTCCCACGTAGTATTTTCTCCCTTACAATTGTACTACTTCTTCACTTGAAAATATTTACATGTATACTTACAGTTTCGGCTTCTGTAGTCGTTAGTTTCTCCAGATCTCTACTTCCTATTTGGACTTTTCTCATTTCTACATTCAAATGCCAAAAGCCTTACAAACTTCAGTTCTTCCCACTGTACGCCTTCTACTGCTTTTACGTCCCTTGTCTCTGTGCGATGTGCACCCACCTAAATCAGACTCTCACTAGGTGGTTAGCCCACTTGTCCCCTTCACATTTTACTGTTCTTTAAAGTTTTCCTATTATTTACCTTTTTTCTCCTTTAAAGTTTCATTTCTCTTGCTTGGTTAATCCCTATATTGTCATCCAAAACTTTTCAGCAAACTTTGTTTAGCCCTCATTCCATTATCCAGCCTAGATGACGCCAGAACTCAAATGATCTGTATAGAACAAAAGTCACATGATATCATACTATCTTAAGGAATTTTCTGTTTGGGGATAGACGTCTTCATCCCTAGCCTTAGTCTTCCCTCCTCATCTCTCCCCTCCTTCTCTTTCCCTTTTTCTTTTTTTTCTTTTGCATAATGGGAATGAAAACCATGGTCGTATAAACACACACTCACCTGCTCAACCTCAGAGCTGCATCCCTAGCCCTTTGGTTTTTCAGACAGGATCTTGCTATATATATAGCTTAGGTTGGCCAGAATGTGAGTGCTGGGAGCACAGGCAGGCACAGCCACACCCAGTGTGCATATTGTTTTGTTTATGTGTATGAGTGTTATATGCCTGCAAATGTGTAAGTGCACCTGTGTCATGCAGTGCCAAGGAGGCCAGAAGAGGTTCAGGTCCCCTGAAACTTAAGTCATGGAATGTTGTTAGCCACCATATAGGTGCTGGGATTCAAACCCGAGTTTTCTGGCAGCCAGTGCTCTTAACTCTCCAGCCCTCATCTTGTTTGCTTCTTTTGGAGACATAGTCTCTTGTAGCTACAGCTGGTCTAGAACGCCCAGGTGCTACGATTAACTGCATGTATCATCACACCCAGCTTTTTTAATATATTTTTTAAAATTTTTATGTGTGTGTTTACCTGCATGTATGTTAAGTGTACCATGTGTATGCAGTGTTTGCAGAAGCCAGAAGAGGGCATCAAATCCCATGGAACTGGAGTTAAGGACAGGGTAAACTGCTATGAGGTTGCTTCAAACCAAACTTGAGCCGTATCTCCAGCCCCCATAGTGTGGTTATGCAGTAAATAATTAGATCCCAGAATATAACCAGTGCTACTAAGTTTTTCTCTAATATTAATAAATTGTGACTCAGTGGGGAATAATTAGGGGAAGAAAAGGATCTAGGCCTTTTCTTGGTTGAAGGTTGCAAAGCACAGTGGTAGAGGGCTGGAATATAAACTAAGATCTATCTCAAACAAAATAAATTCTCAGACCTTAGGATTGTTCTGTTGAATCAAAGAAATTGTAAAGCACTAATGTGAAGTTGAGGAGACAGAACACATGGTGTAGTAGACGCTGTGGGCAGGCTCATACTTATTATTTGAGAAAGAATCTGGCTCCCATATCCAGCCTTGCTTTACAGAAGGCCTATACTATACATAAGACAGTAAGACTTTCTATCTCATGGCATCCAAACTACTTTATTGAAGATAGGCTTAAAAGACAGTAACATGCTGAGCTTGGTGGCACATGCCTTTAATCGCAGCACTTAGGAGGCAGAGACAGGCAGATCTCTGAGTTCCAGGCCAGCCTAGTCTATGTAGTGAATTTCAGGACAGCTGGGGCTATGGGGAGATCCTGTCTCAAAAAAACAGTGAAATGTAACATTTGATAGGTGAGTCAGCTACTAGGAGGAAGTATTTCTCAGTGTTCATTTTAAATGCTGTAAAGAAAATAAATTTACAGATATGTAGCTGAACTACAAGAGAGGCAGAACTTGAAAAGTATCTATTCACTAATAAAAGTGTAATGTAAATGCAAGTTAATTGTATGATCGTTCCTTTTACAGCAATTCTGTGGTAATACCATTAATTTTTGTAGAATGTTGCTGATAATTTTTAATTTACATAAATTAAAAATTATCTTTTAACCCTGTTGATCTTCTTCCCCATTAAGGTCTTAAGTTCTGCAACTTTGTCTGTCATAGTAGTTTTTAGGAACTGGTGACTTAAAAACAAAATTAAAGAGTGTCTTTTCTTTAGACAAAGATGACATTTCTCCACTAATCAAGCAGGAACTTAAATTCATAGGTATGTACCAAACTCAACCATGGTTTTTTTAAAGATAATAATGTTAAATTAATCAGAGAGCAGCTTAGAAACCTTTCATTAAAAAACAGAAATTTTTAATTGTAATAAATGATGCCAGAAAGAATTTATTAGTAACCTTACAAATCAGCCCATGATAAACCATGTTATTAACATTCTTACTGTTCTTTTTTTAGATTTGTCACATTGCTTTAAGACATCATAGATTTAAAAATTCCTAAAACTTCACTTGTAGGTCTAGGTCTTTCATTAAGAGGAATAATCTGATACTTTTTTGTAAAGTGTATAATACTCTAAATCATTTTTTATTTTTTTTGTGTATGAGTATATTGCCTACATGTATTTAAGTGTACCCATGTTGTGCAATGCCTGCAGAGGTCAGAAGAGGGCATCAGATCCTTTGGAACTGGAGTTACAGACAGTTGTTAGCTATCATGTGGGTGCTGGGAATCAAACCTGTGTCCTCTGCAAGAGCAGCCAGTGCTCTTAACTGCTGAGCCATCTCTACAGCCCCCATTTATTCTTTTAAAAAAATTTTATTTCATGTTTGAGTGTTTCGCCTGTGTGTATGTAAATGTACAGTGCCCTTGGCCAGAAGAGGGCGTCAAATTCCCTGGAACTGGTTGTTAGCCACCATATGGGTGCTGGGGACTGAACCTGCACCCTCTGCAAAAGCAGCCAGTGCTGTTAACTGCTGAGCTGTCTCCAGTCCCGTGTACCTCCTTTTACATTAGTTTAGGTTTTTTGAGACTCTTGAATTAAAAAGTCATGTGTTTTATCAAGCTATGGGAATTGGGAACCATTGTTTCTTCACATATGCCCTGCCCATTCTTCTTCTTTGCCTGTGGAAATCCTGTTATTCATATGTCTGAAGACAGGATTGTGTCCTGCCAGGTATTGCCCACAGTTTTGTTTTCCTTCCGGAAACTATAATTTCAATTGGTTTATCTTTAATTTTGCTTTGTTTTTCCTTCTGTTAATCTGTATTTGCTGTTGACATTGTTGTTGGGTTTGTTTTTTTGTTTTTTGTCTTTTTGGTTTTTTTTTTTTTTTTTTTTTTGTCTTTGTCTTAGCATATGTAAGGCAAGTTAAAGTCTTGGCCCAGAACATCGCAGTGTTGTGCTTCTGCATGAAGAGTTTCTATTAATTTCTCTTGTGAATGGGTTGTATTTTTTATTTTTGTGTGCTTGTGAATGTGTACCAGCCAGGGCTGCATCTTGAGACCCTGTCTTTAAAAATTAAAAAAAAAAAATTTTTTTTTAAGTTTGTTTTTCAATGTTTGACATTCTAGTTTTATTTTTCTTTCTTTTATTAAGTTTATAATTCTGAAATTTTCTCTCTCTGTACCTGAAGTCCCCTCCCACCCCCTCAATTTCAAAACAATCTCAAACTTAGAGAAATGTTGCAGAAAGACTCAAGAACTTTATAAGCCACTTAGAGTAAATTGCAGGCAGGTGTACATCTGCCCTGAACACTCATTTCCTACACAGAGTTAGAGTGCAGCCTTCAGGAAAAGAAGTCAGTGTTGCCTTGTTCCTACCGTGCAGTTCTTCTGACGGTTCTCTCAGTAATTTTTGTTTCGTTTGTTTGTTTTGTTTTGTTTTTTGTTTTGTTTTTTTTCTGAGACAGGGTCTCCCTGTGGCTCCAACTGGCCTAGATCTTGCTATATAGACCAGACTAGCCTCAACTCATAGAGACCAGCCCGCCTCTGCCTCCTGAATGCTGGGATTACAGGTGTGTGCCATTACACTATGCCTGACTGTCAGATTAATAGACTCATTGATTTGGATTTTTTTTCATTGTTAGAGTCAAGTTATATTTCCTTTTGAACAGGTTTATCATACAAACAGTCTGCACATTTTCAGATGACATAAAATCAGCTTTTTCCAACGTAAAAATTTTTTTCTCTTTATCATTAATGATTTGTAAAATAAGACTGAGACTGCATAAAAAATCCCATTCCTCATCATTCTTTGAATTTTTGCCAGTATGAATTATCATGGCTTGTAATCCATTCCTCATGATTTGCTGTGATTCTCAAATTGTTCAGTTTTGCCTTAAATCGTTTTATAGGTTTTCCATCTTGCCCTTTGGCCTTCTGTGTCAGTGTTACTTGAATGCTTGCTCTCAGTGCCTGTGCCCTTCTCCACACTTTCAGCCAGCCTCTGCCTCCCTTCTTCATGATACTGCGTATGTATTCATTTACCAGTGCTGCTATAGTACAGATACTACATGTTTAGAAAATATTTTTTTTATTTTTTGGGCCTTTTGAGACAGAGTCTCTCTGTATTATTCCCAGCTTGCTTGGAAGTCACTGTGTAGACCATGCTGGCCTTGAACTCATAGATCCGCCTGCCTCTGACTCCTGAGTGCTGGGACTAAAGGTGTGCCTATTACTTGTATTTTATGTATATGAGTGTATTGCCTGCTTGTACATAAATATACCCCTGTCATGCAATGCCTGCAGAGGTCAGAAGAAGATGTTGGATCCCCTGGAACTGGAGTTATGGCTGGTTTTTAGCCACTATGTGGGTACTGGGAATCGAACCTGGGTCCTCTGCAAGAGCAGTCAGTGCTCTTAACCGCTGAGCCATCTCTCCAGCCCCACCAAATGTGAACTTTCAAAGCTGTTAAATATCTGGGGCTGGAGAGATGGCTCAGTGGTTAAGAGCACTGACTGTTCTTGCAGAGGACCCAGGTTCGATTCCCAGTACCCACATAGTGGCTAAAAAACAGCCATAACCCCAGTTCCAGGGGATCCAACATCCTCTTCTGACCTCCACGGCATTGCAAGACACGGGTGCACTCACATACATGCAGGCAATACACAGATACACATAAAATAAAAATAAATAAAAATATTTTTTTAAAAAAGAAAGTTCACATTTGGGGTGAAGAGATGCCTTAGCAGTTAAGAGGACCTAGATTTCGTTCCCAGCAGTCACATGGTGGGTCACAACCATCTGCAACTTCAGTTTCAGGAGCATCTGATGCCCTCTTCTGACCTCCACAGGCAGTGCATGGATGTGATGGTACAGTTACATGCAGGCAAAACACTCAGACATAAAAATAATAAAAATAAATGATAGCACACAGTTATTAGCTGCTGTTTTTTCTCTGTTTTGTTAGTAGATTAGAAGTACGGGTAGAATTGGCTGGTTTTCCTGCTTAGAATCTCACATAGCTGAGATCAAGGCTTTTGCCAGCTATGCTCTTCATCAGGAGGTTCTGGGAAGAAGCCACTTTGGGTTCATTCTGGCTACTGACAGGATCCAGCTCCTTCCTTTTAAAATATTTTTTATTTATTACTTTCATGTATATGTGTGGAGATAAGTGCACCCGTGTCATGCAATGCCCATGGAAGACAGAGAGGCTGTCGGATCCCCTGGAACTAGAGTTACAGACAGTTGTTAGCTGCCATGTGGGTGCTGGGATTCAAACCCCAGTCTTCTGCAAGAACAGTGTTCTTAACTGCTGAGCCATCTCTCCAACCCCTTTTCTTTTCTTTTCTTTTCTTTTCTTTTCTTTTCTTTTCTTTTCTTGATATCCAGTGCCCTAAACTGTCAAGTGTTTCCAATTTTTTCTTCAGTGCCTTCCTTTTTGATCTGCACCTAGGGCAGCCTTGGCTCACAGAAACTTTCTAATGGGCTTTGAGTATTTCTGCTGAATCTCTGTTGTTTTTCTTTTACCACATTTCCTATTAACTCGTCTACCATCCTTTTCTGTTCTAAAAGGTTCATATGATTATATTAAGTTTTATTTCAAGATCATCAAACCTGTATGTTTAGTTCAGTCTTCAAAGCCCCTTCACCATAGAACCCACATTAGTGTTTGACTAACCAGGAGGTGAAACACTTGGAGACCTCCCTTTAGAATTCTGCCCATCACAGCAAGGTATTCCACGTTTCTCTGCCCCCATCTTCCTTAATGCAGTGTTGCGTTTTCTCTCTTTTTTAAATTTCTTCTCTTACAGGATGTACCATACACAATAAATTGGGGTATTAGTTTTTTGTTTCTCCTCTTTATTCACAGTATAGGAGAATTGAGCCTAGTACCTTATCAGTGCATGTTAGGCAATTGCTCCTGTCATTTTATTGTATTCCCAGCTTTCTTTTTACTCTTTATTTTGAGGTCAGGTGTTACTAAGTAGCCCAGACCTTGAATTTCTGGTGCCTCAGGCTTCTGAGTAGCTGGGATTATAGATATGCACCACCAGGCCAGGCTCCTCATAGTGGGGTTTGTTTGTTAATACCTTTTTTTAAGACAAGATTTTATGTAGCATAGCCTGGCTTCAAACTCACTGTGTATAGCTGAGGACAATGATTTGGAGCTCCTGATTTTCCTGCTTCCATATCCTAAGTTCTGGGATCACACATTTACATCAGCACATTCAGTTCTCCTCATGGGTTCATCATCATTATATTTACCACATGTTTTTGTCTGTCATTTCTATCTTCTGAAGGTTCTTGGAGGACAAGCAGAGAATGTGTCTTTTAATTTTTATTTTATATGTTTGAATGTTTGCCTGCCTGTATGCATGTACACAGTGTTTGTGCCTGGTGCCAGCTGAGGCCAGAAGAGGGAGTTGGATTCAGAAATAATTTTCTGAATAGCATGATGAAATCTCATGCTATTTCATTGTCTCCCACCTAGGGTGACAATTGTCACTCTGTTGTAGTAGATCCACAACTGTAAGAATGGCACCAAAATGTGAGAGTAGTGTTGCAGAGGAAGCAACTGGGCATAAAATGTGGAAGAACTTAGTAAATGTAGAACTGTATGTCAACACTGTGGGCACATAGATAAAAGATACTGTATTTAGAGGGCTTGGTAATGTCTGTGACTTCAGACATGGACCAGGCACGGGTGTTAGAACATAGCCTTATATACTTGGGGGAGGGGCACTGTATGTTAAAGTGTATAAAGGATTAAGAAGTCTGCATTTCTCTGGATATGGTGATACACACCTTAAAACCAGCACT